ATCGTTTTTTTCTAACCACTGTATTAAAATTTTCTTGTAAGGTCAACTTCTTTATTTCTAGTAACTTATGGGGTATTGCAAGGTTCTAGCCTTGGCCCTGTATTGTTATAATCTACATTAATAATCTGCCTGACAACCTTACATCCTAAGTTGTTCTATTTGCTCTAATCTTGAATCTGATCTCTCTTCTGCAAGCTTGGAGCTTGCAGTGGCTTGTGAATTTTAACTCTAACAAAACTATTATTTACTTATTTACTGCAAACAACTATTGCAATATTGTTGACATTAACTATATTAATGGAGGGCAACCCTCTCACTGAGTCCTCTACTTTACATCCTCTTGGATTATCATTACCTACTTAACTCTCATAAAAATCATTTATACAATCGATTGCAAAGTTAGTATCTGCTAAGGTAGCTTCTCATTGTTGTGCTCACCATTTTTTCACTTCTGATTCGAGATTCTGTTCTAACCTCTACAAATCTCTTATTCCATCAATTAAAACTCATTCTCGCTTATTATATTATTAGTATATGTTTGTAATAATAAATTTTAAAAAGACTTGTATTCAAGAAAAATATTTTGGTTTAGATACGTATCTGGGATCCAGCAACAGGAAATCAACTTGGAAAGACACTGGTCGGGCACAAGCAGTGGATAACCATGCTGGCATGGGAACCAATTCATCGGTTGATAAGTCTTATTTTTAGTTTAGTTAAATAAAAAGTTTGATTACTTTAATTTAATTCATTTTCAATTTATTTAATTTTAATTTCAAATTATTTTTAATGCTTACTTACAACTTAGTTTTAAATTTTAAAAATAAGTTAACATAAATAATTGATTTCTGCAACTCTTGACTTTATGTGTGTTACAATTTAAAATGATTCCTGAATTGATTCTTGACTTGATGTATGTGGCTGTGTTGTTTTAATTATATAATAATTTTTAAATTATTTTATAAATTTAATAAACAACTTTACTTTAAAGTCATACAAAAAACAATGATTTTCAATTATTTAAACTTATATAGAAACGTAGAGTGCAGGAGGTTGGCAAGTTCATCCAAGGTACTATTTTTAATTGATCTTATTTATGTTTATTAATATAATAAATTATTTATATAATTATTTATATAATTTATATTTATATAATATATTATTTATGTTTATTAATAAAATCAACTTAGTATTGCACAATAAAACACAAAAAAACAAGTGAAGATTATTTGTTATGATTACAATAATTATAATTACATGAATTTATGAAGAATTAAATTATTAATGAAGAGTGATATAATATATTGAGCAACTTATTGGTATTAATGCTCAGCGGGCAAACCTGATTTAATAGCAAGAAATAGTCTTGCAGCACTTTCTTATTAGAAAGTGTGAACAAATGTTTATGCAAATATCTAACTTATGTAAATTTCAGACTATGTAAATGTTAAAAATTGTTTTCAAGTTTTACAGTTTTACTTTTACATTAAAATTGCGGCAATATCACATTAATTTTTTATTTATGGCATTTTTTTGCCTATTTATAAATGAAAATAGATATAAGGTAAATTTGTATACCATCTTTTGCCTAACAAATGATACCTATATAACCAGTGGCATAGGAAGGTTTTTAAATATTTGAAATAACCAACTTATAAACAACAAGAGTATTCCAAGAATAAAGATTATGACCATATAAAGTTTAACTCCCCCCCCCAATTTGAGGGGGTCACAAACTTTATATGGTCATAATTTTTAAACTCTAAAATATTTTACTATGAAATTGAAAATTTCTTTATGAATATAAGTCTAGTTGAAAATAGTCCAAAAAATATTTTGTCAACTTGTTGCTCTTATGTTTAGGGCGGGGCTAAGATTTTAGGGTTTCTTTTTCCCATTCTCCTATCACAGTAATTTTTTTTTAAGAATCTTTTCGTCAAACATATGAACGTAAAAAAATTTGGAATATTCTTGTTGTTTATAAGTTGGTTATTTAAAAACCTTCCTATGCCACTGTATATAACTACTATAATTTTGCCTAACAAATAATGTTCAAAAATGCTAGTATCAGGGATGCGGAGTCCCAAAAGGACTTCAGCTTTATATTTCTACATTTTCCAAGCCTGTAGTATCCAGAAGCTCTAAACATGTTTGTTGACTGATCTGATGAAAAAAAAAATTCATGAGATTTAATGACTTAATTAATGACCGGAGTCCTGGAGTCCCAGAGTTGTTGCCCCCATTATACCCTCCTCCGGAGGACTCCGGGTTCAAAAAATGATTATTCCTCTAACCTAAAAGTCTTAATTTTTTTCCTATTAGTAGTCCATGAACTTATTTTTAGAGCTCCTGGATACCAAAAACTAGGATAAAGTAATCTTTTTGTGACTTTCAAATCCGGAGTCCTTTTTGGGACTCCACATCCCTGTTTTTAAGATATACACCAATATTTGTATGAAAAATTATTAATATAAAACATTTGAATCTGTAAAAATAGAAAATTTCTGAACACTTTGTTACTTATATAATGTAACATATTCAAATAGTCGTTTGAATATACTAATTATAATTCCTAAAATACTTTTTTTGTAGCTGTTAATACTTTTTATTCACAGTAATACCAGTCTTTACATTCCTCATGTTTTTTCAATAATTAAACTGTTGTAATCAATAAAAAACCTTCAATAATAAAAATGTTTATCAATTTAGTAATTTCATAATAATAAGTTAATTATATGTAACCAAGTAAAAAACTTACCAAATAGTTTTGGATACCAAAAACTAGGATAAAACAATCTTTTTGTGACTTTCAGATCTGGAGTCCGTATGTCATGATAGAGATACTGTTATTAATGTGCTTAGGTAATTAGTTAAGTCTGCACATTTAATCATTAGAGACAACTTTTTTTCTTATAGGAAAAAAAGATTTTACATTTAAACTTTTATTTTTTTGAAAATTAATTAACATACCAAGCGTCCTAGCAAGTTGCAGATGGTCTGATAAGAAAATTAAAAAAAAACTTGATAGAAACTTAATTTTAGAAAAATTAATAAACCTATCCAAGTTTTTATATAGAAGTTTACAATTTTACAATTATAAATAAATTTATGAGTGTGTTTAAATATATGTATATATATATATATATATATATATATATATATATATATATATATATATATATATATATATATATATATATATATATATATATATATATATATATATATATATATATATATATATATATATATATATATCCATATATCAAATACTAAAGCTATCTTCTGCAGTCTTTGTTGAGTGTATCATACAATTAGTCACTAACCAATTCTATTTTACTGCTGAATTCACTACCCAAAATAAACCGTGATAGAGTCATGAAAAGGTTCCAGAAGACTTAACCATCTTGGAGGATCAGAGAAGAAAAAGAAAGTTGATGATTTCTTTTAATTGTTTTATTAAAATATAATTAAAATATTCTTTTAATTGTTTAGATTAAAAAAAGTTTACAAAAGTAGATCAAATTGAAATGGAGAAAGAAAAAAAAAGAGAAACAGAAGAGAGAAAAAAAATGTATCTGTTACAGAAGAAGCTAAGGTTTCTGAAAGTGAAGATATTACACTTGATTATAGGTTTCTGACTCAGATGTCTCATTATGTTTTTTGTAGACAGAAAATGAGCAATAAGATTCTCTAAGAGCATACTACTGAAAAACTTATTGAGGCCACATCTACTATTATTATTATTGAGGCCACATCTACTATTGCTACAAGGTACAATATAAGTCATAGAGGTTGTTTCAGTATGCTAGCTAGTATTTTTAATGCTTTTAATGTTAATATTGAAAATGTTCACTTTATCAACTCTTCATAGAAATGGATATGTAAGCATTGAGAAACAGGGTGATTTTATCAGAAGTGAAATCATAGATAACCCGCCTTAAATAAACTTAAGGGCATGCCTTTAAGGGACCCTGACGAAAATGTCTGCGCAAAATTTTAGGGTCCCTTAAGGGCTAGCCCTAAAGCAACCAAAAAAAACCACGCGTTACCACAAAGATGAGTAGTAAAGCGTGGTTGTTTTTTTAATATAAATATGCGTATAAATATAAGTAAATTGTTAATAACAATAGATTAACAACTTTCGTTACTTCATTTTTATTGTTTCTAATAGTGATTGTAAGTCAAATGGGTTACTCACAAGACTGTTGTTTAAAGTTTAATATCAATTCATATTTTATATCAAAATTATTCGAAGTAGCTCTAAACTTCATTCACTTTTAGGCAGATTTTCCAGGTGATCTTTTTTTGCATGTCATGTGTCAGCAACCAGTCAACCCTCTTGCAAGCATCATCCATGACAGCTAAAAAAGATTAGAAATATTTTATATTTTTATTATTGCATTCCAAAACCAACAATTTATGGCTACTTGCATATTCAGAAATTAATAAAAACATACCATATTCTTTGGGTGCTTTTCAACTTGAGAATATTGCAGAACAGATTTAAAAATTGGGAACTAGATTTGGCTGATATTCTAATCAACTGGAATTGCCTAATACCAAGCATACTATCATGCATCTGTAATAAACTTGAATCAGCGGAATACCTGGGACTCTAAAATGACAACATTTTACAATAATAACAATAATATATATATATATATATATATATATATATATATATATATATATATATATATATATATATATTATATATATATAATATATATATATATATGTATATTTATATAATATATGTGTGTGTGTATATATATATATATATATATATATATATATATGTTATATATTTATGTATATATATATATATATTATATATATTGTATATATATATAATATATATATATATATATATATATTTCAAGTTAATACTTTTGCATGAAAAATAAATATTTTGCAGTATACATTTGACTGATTATCTGTCTGTGGAATGCTTGAGACCTATACGAAATTAAAAAGACATAAACATAATCAAACTTATTATGTGAAAGATATTGAAGTATATCACAATTTTTAAAAAACTGCAGTTACCTGGATAGATGCAGGTAATTGCAAACTAGAAATCTTTAAAAAATATATAGCAATAACACAAAATAGAATAAATTACAAATTATCATAAACAGTAAATTTAAAATAAGTTATGTTCTGATGCAATAAAACTAGAATAAAGCAATATTGAATATATTCATTTTGCCAAAAAGAAAAGAAAACATATATTAAATTAAAACTTATTCAAAAAAAACACTAAAACAATAAAAAGCTGTATCGCAAACTTATCATTTGAAAAATTATAGCAGAATTATCTGTTGATAAAATTACATTATATACACTTGATGATGTTTGTATATTTGTTTCTTTTGTACTTTAAAAATGTGTATAAACTTGATGCATTAGTTAAAAAAATCATTTAAATAACATTGGCATAATTAGTTTTTAGCGGTGGCAGAAGAAGGGGCAACAAGTTAAATAACATTGGCGTAATTAGTTTTTAGCGATGTGAAAAAGAAGGGGCAAAAAGTTGAGGACCAGGTCCTCAACTTTTTGCCCCTTATTCAATCATTTGATTTTTATGTATTCATTAAAATAAAAATCTTTGTTTTATAAAATAAAAATTTTTATTATTTTCAAAAAATTATTTATTTAGAATTTTATAATTTAATTTTTGTATATTGTTTAATGTATATACTTTATAAAATAAAAATTCTTTGGTTGCTTGTTCTATAACCAGTGATATTTAATCTTGAAAGTATTTTCAAATGTTTAAAGCCATTTGCTTGTTTAAAAAATGTAAACAATGTAAAAAAAAAAAGATTTGTGTAATGTTTAATATTGAATAGGAAAATAGGTTTATTTCCAATGAGTCATTTATATTCAGGTGACTTACTTAGGAGTACTTAATTAAATCTAAAATTCCCTCATCACAATTTTTTACTTTTTTTTTTTTTTTTTTTTTTTTTAGGATGGAACAATTCGTATTTGGGACACAATTCTATGCAAAACATTGTTAGTGCTGTCTGGTCACTTACAATCAGTTACATGTATTAGATGGGGAGGAGAAGGGCTTATATATTCTGCTTCTCAGGACAGAACAGTTAAAGTTTGGAGAGATCAAGATGTAATTTTTTCTTTTTCTTTATGATAAAAATTTTGATATGCAAATATGGTATTTAAATGTTTAGTTTTTTAATGTGTAATTTTTAATCCAATATATTTTTTTCAAACTTTTTTGTATTGTTAAAGTTTAATTGTTCCAATTTGAAACTTCCAAACTGATTTATAAACAAAATTTTCAATAATTTTGTTGCAGTAAGTTATAGCAGGAATGAATATGCTGGCGTGGAATTTATAGCACACCATTTTATGTCAAAATTCAATGCTGTTTGATATAAACCACTTAGTAGAGTTTCGCATCAAAAAGTTAGAAAAACTAGTTAGAAAAAAAAAGTTCGCATCAAAAATCATAGTAGAGTTGCATGCAAAAGAGAAAGAATGAGTACAAAACTAATAACAAAATTATTAAAAATAAATTATTGAGAAAAAACGTTTTGCAAACATAATTTAAAAATTGTTCTTTCTTTATATTCTCTATATAGATTGCATGTTGTAGATATTTTATTTTCATTTAAATTTTTTGGACTTATAATCTCTCTTGTTCCCTCACTTGTATCAAATTTCGTCGATGGAAATAAAAATAAGAAAACAGAAACAAAAAAAATAAAAGATAGATCTTAAATTTTAATAAGTGGTTTATATCAAACGGCATTGAATTTTGACATAAAATGGTGTGCTATAAATCCCACACTAGCCTATTCTTTCCTGCTATAATTTACTGCAACAAAATTATTAAAAATTTAGTTTATAAATCAGTTTAAGAGTTTCAAATTAGAAGTTAACTTTGATATTTATGCAATTCTATTAGGCCAAACGCTTTTAAATTTAAAAGATAAAAAATTGGTTTATAGCTTACTTTTTTACTTTTGTTTATTTTCACTTAGGTAAAGGTTTGTTCTCTTTTTTCAGTTTATGGTTTTTGTTTTCATTTTTATTTAGTTTACTTTCGTTTTTAAGCGCCATTTTTAATATATGGCGCTTAAAAACAACCATATATATATATATATATATATATATATATATATATATATATATATATATATATATATATATATATACATATATATATGTAGTGAAAACTAAATAATTATTTAGATATATTTTAATTACATAACTAAAAATTTCATGCAATAGCGATCATCAGATGTAACAACAACTAAAAAGTAACAACAAAAATTATTACGCCACCATTAAATTTGCTTATTAAACAAACTGAGCTTGCATCAAAGTGCCACCATGAAAACAAATTTCAAATTAAAAACTTTAATGTCATTAAAGTGAGCATTCCATAGCATATTTTTGTAGAGAATTTTTGTTGTTACTTTTTTGTTTTTGTTACATTTTATGATCGCTATTGCATGAAACTTTTGTTTATGTAATTAAAATATGCTTTGATGAATATTTAGTTTTTACTACAATAATATATATATATATATATATATATATATATATATATATATATATATATATATATATATATATATATATATATATATATATATATATATATATATATATATATATATATATATATATATATATATATATATATATATATATATATATATATATTATATGATATAATATATATATATTTATATATAAATATATATACATGTATATGTATGTATATATATATATATATATATATATATATATATATATATATATATATATATATATATATATATTATATGATATAATATATATATATTTATATATAAATATATATACATGTATATGTATGTATATATATATATTTATGTCATTAAAATATGCTTTGATGAGTATTTAGTTTTTACTACAATAATATATATATATATATATATATATATATATATATATATATATATATATATATATATATATATATATATATATATATATATTATATGATATAATAAATATATATTTATATATAAATATATATACATGTATATGTATATATATATATATATTATATGATATAATATATATTTATTTATATATAAATATATATACATGTATATGTATATATATATATATATATATATATATATATATATATATATATATATATATATATATATATATATATATATATATATATATATATATATATATATATATATATATATATATATATTAGAAATTAGGAAAATGGAGCCATAAATTTAAATAAAAAAAATTAACTACAGTTCTGCATTTTATAAAAGAACTCTCAGTTCCAATTAATTTATTACATCATATAGAGTAATTATCCATTACAATTAATTTATTAAACCTTATTAGTGTATTGAAGGGACTGATAATGTCTGACTTAAAAAATTTTAAATCAGATATTTTTAGCTAAATGAAAATATATTATTTAAAAAAAAACCTAATTGAAAAAATGTAAAACTCTCTTCTTAAATAAAATTGTAAATGTTTAAAATTTGTAAATGTTTCAAATGGATAGAGTGCACAACATCATAAATTCACATGTTTAGAAAAATTGATAATTTTTTATTTTTTTAGTTAATTAAAATGTGGTTGTTTCAGATATGTTTGGAAAAAAAAAATTTTTGACGCAAAGTTTGATTCCTTTATGACCTAAAACTGAGTCCATAAAAAAATGTTTTTCCTAAAAAACAACACAAAGCTCATTATAATTAAAAATTTTTTTGTTTGTTTCTTTTTTACTGTTCGGGAATTGTGTTATAAATTTTTTTTTTTTTACTTTTTGTTGATTTTTCGAAAAGATGTAAGGAAAAGTAAGTTTTGGGTAGCCTCTCACCTCGTGTTTATCAGGAATCGCTAAAAAGTTTATGAAAAATTCCAGTTTATGAATAATTGTTTTTTTTTTTTTTGGCCCAAAAAACTGTAAAAAAAAAATTAATTTAAAAAAACAACTGTGATTAAATTTTTTGAAATTTTTTTTTTAAGTTCAAAAAGAATTGCCTTATAAAAAAAAAGATTTTTTAGAAGAAAAACAAGGAAAAGTAGTTTTTTGGTATGGTTTTTCTTGTGGCTATCATTGGCTGCTAGAAATTTCCAAAAAATTTTAAAATAACTTTAAAGTGACACTGGTGCTAGCAAAATAGATATGAAATACTTATGTATTGATAAAACATATTGGTGATCAGCTGCAGCAAAAACTTAAGATGGTGGTAAGATACTGATAGTAAGATCCATGCCTTTGTTGCAAGAAAATCTTAAAAAATTTTTTAAAAACATTTTTTTCCAGCTAACTTATTTGCACAATTAGATTTGTAATTAGTTTGATTTTCTTCTCAAAACTGGAAGACCATTTACTTTTGCATTATTTGATAACTTACTGAACTAGATGTTATTCTAGGAAAATAATTTGAGCAGCGGTACCCCTCCCTCAGCCCTGCAAAATTTAGCGGAAATATTGCTGAATGTAGGCGCTTTTTTAAAAGTCCTCAATTTTGAATTTGGGCAGTCCAAATACAGCAGGCACTGTCAAAAATGGTCTAGAATAACCCCTGTGAACAATCTTTGTGAAAACCTCTAAGCAACCTCTGTGAAAGAAGTCACAGCTTGATTAGAAGTCAGAAAAACATTTTTAAGTTCTTCTTTCTGATAAATGAAAACAATTGTTGGGTGTCCAGCATGCAATTTTCATAAATATCAACAGGTTCTTGTTTTTTATTATTATGTTGTTTAAGTATTTTGTATTGCTTAGCAACTAAAATAAAATAATGGTTAAAATAAATGTGACAAAAAATAGAAACATCAATTTTTTGTATGTTTTGTCAATAACTATTATTACAAATGCAAGAATATCATGAATATCATAAACTTTTCATTTTAGTATTTTGTTGCACCACCTTTTAGTTTTAGGGCTGCTTCTGTATTTGGTTTATTTGAGGTCATTGTCTTGTTGAAAAAAGACAATGACCCCAAATAAACTAATCTAAATTCAATTCTTTAACAGATTGACATGTATTTTCGGAAAGCAAATCAACATACAGTTATCTTTTCATTATACCTTTAATATTCACCAACCTTCTGACACCATTTGAAGAACAACATCCCCAAAATATAAATGAGCTTACTCCATGCTTGACAATTTTTTAAATATTTCTATCTAAGAGTGCATCACAAGGTCTGCACCAAACTCTTTGTCGTTTTTTAAAGCCAAGTATTTGAAATTTACTGTCATCAGATCATAATGAGTTTTAAAATGCCTCAACTTTGTTAAAATGCATCAAAATCTGAAAGAGATTGAGTTTATTTGGAGAGAATGTACAATAGCTTTAAATGTTTTTCAATCTTGAACATCTTGGTTCTAATAGTGATTAATGTTTCAACATGATTAACAACACCAATATACAAATTATTCAGAAGTAGTCATTAAATAAATTATTTGATCAGCTCAAAATTAATCATGCAACTTGATGTAATTTTACAATCCATGTATAATGTAAATTATGCTTTAACTTCTCTCCGAAATCAGATGAAAATTCAATCTCTGTATAATGCACTACTTTTGATGCAACAAACCATTCTGAAGTTTCATTTAAATTTATTTAATTAGCCTTTCTTAAAGTTTGGCAGACATAAAAATTACTCAAAGCAAAATTTCTTGTTTGCTTTGCATAAATAAAGTCAGGTATTTTTGGTTGATTTTTTTTTTTTGATGCATTTTAAATGTTTAGAAAGTGTAGCCGTACAAACAGCATCATTATAGTCATAATCAGGCTAACGTAATCTTATCTATATTTTTAAATATTAAAATCTTTGTAATTGTAATTATGTTCATAATTTTTTTACAACTGGTTTTGCTAAAACCAGTTGTAAAAAATTATTCAATCAGTAGATTTATGAACACTCACTTCCTTTATCTCAAAATAGTTTATTGTTTGGTATATTACTATTCTTGTCAAAATCATTGAGAGTTGGACGCAACCGTTTTTCGCAAGTATTCAATATTGCTGCTAATAAATAAAATTGCCTTACAACTGATGGTAGAGTTTAGATCTTTATCTATAACAAAAAAAAAAAAAAATCGCAAGTTATTAAGGTTAAGGAATTATTTTGATGAACACTAAGCCCTTTTATTTCTTTAATGACCCGGTTAATTTTCACGTTTTTACACTTTAGAAGCGCAATGTCAGGAAAGTTAAAAATATAGTTTATATACTTACAGGTTTATTAAAAAAAAAAATCAACAAAAAGTCATCTTGTATAATCTGATTTAAACTACTGTCGTTAAAACGAATTGAAAGAACTATAAAAAAAATTAAAACTACAAATGTATTAAAAAGTTCGACAAATATTAAATCAAAATCAAACAATAAAATTCCAAGATAGTCAAACAATAAAAATAAACTAAGAAAACAAAAAAATCTAATAAAAAGAATACAAGAAAACAAAAAATTGGTAATTGGTAAATTATTGGTAATAGAAACCATTCAAAAACTATGAGTTTCTTCTGCCCTTCTATCTGCTAATTGAAATGTGGCTTTTATATCAGAGTTTTCCTTCTTCTTGGTAAGTTGTCTTCACTTTACTAAAGAGTCTCATTTGCCCCAATACAGAATCATTTTAACATAATTAGCAGAATAGTGTTAATAAAGTATATGCCAGAAACACAATAATCTAATTTAAATATGCGGTAGTGGTGTAGTGGTAAAACACTCGCTTCATAAGCGAGAGGTTCGGAGTTCAATCCCCACCACGTCCCTGGTAGTACCGCGCTCAACTTGTTTCTCCGTGCAGCGGTCTTGTTTGTCAAGGTTCGTGTTTCGGAGTTATAGAGTTGAGAGAGGGTTATAACCACTATTAAGTAGCCTCCTCGTTTGTAGTGGTCTTTTTCGCCTTGAGGAGGTGAATAATAATAATAATAAAAAAAAAGTAAATGTTGCAATAAATAAAGTATGTAGCTTTATAAAATTTAAATTTCATATAAATTCATATTTTATGCATTATGTAAATTGTAAACAAAAAATTAAAATAAAACTGAATAAAGAATGTTTTTATTTCTAAACAAATTTTGATTTTCATTTAAATTCTAAAACAAAAAAGTTTAAGCTAAACACTTAAATTGAAAACTGTAAAAGGAATGTATTATAATTAAATGTAATAAAAATATATTATAAAAAAATATAATAATAATATAATAGTTAAAATAAAATTTGCAAAACTTTTTACGAAATCAACAACGTTTAAACCTTTAAACCTTCATCTGATTTTTTAATTCTAAAATTAGTAAAAAAGTATAAAATTTTATATAAACAAGTATAAAATTTTATAAATATCTTGAATAAAAATTACTAGAGTTAAATATTTACTTAAGAGTAAAATATGTATTTACTTTTTGTTTACATATGTACGATTACATTTTATATGTACAATTGCAAGAAAATAACTCCTAATTTTTAAAAAATCAAAAAATATTATATATATATTTTTGTTTTTAATATTTAATATTTTTATTATACTTTTTTTTTATTTTTTTTATTTCTTATTATAATGATTTTTTGAAAATAACTTCTCCTTATATATGATTTTTTGTATTTTGAATATATAACATAAATTTGTAAGTTGCATGCAGCTGTAATCTTTTTTACCTTAAAACTTGTTTTTAGGGAGCTCTGTGTCGAACCTTAGAAGGTCATGGACACTGGGTTTGTATTTATATATTTATTCAGAATAATTCCTTAGCAACATGTATTTATCTCTATATATAAAATCCCTAAGTTGTTTCTTCTTATGTCTATTATAGACTTTAAAACCATTCAACCAATATATTCCAAATTTCATTAGAAATTTAGAAAATTATTTTCATTAGAAAGTTAATGTGAAATTGGTTTTAGAACACTAACAAACAATTCATCATTAGGCACATTCATTCCATTCATTAAGTCAATTTTCCTGTTTTTTAATGAAGTTTTGAAAATATAAAGTATTTAAATTTTTTTTGAAAAATAATTTAATATTTATTTTGTTTTGACCCCATTGGTATGAGTTTAACCCATAATACAGACTGTCAATGTAAATTACACTGATTAGTAATTCTTATCAGAAAATTTTATCATTTATGGTTATTGCATTGATCATGTCAAATAATTGAATTAGAAAATATTAAAAACCTAATAAGTAGTAAAAAAATATTTGTTTACATAAAATTTATAGTTTTTTGATTATTGATTATTTTGATTATTGTTTGCAATTGTGCTTGTTTAAAAATTGGAAATATATTCATTCAGAAAAGCTATCTATCCGCATATAAAAAATATTGCTTATCAAAAATGCTCTCAAAGATAGCTTCAATTTGGAGAAATGCAGCAGATGAGCAACGAAAGAGAGCAGATGACACACCCGAACAGCATGAAGTATGTCATTCCAAATCTAGTTTGAATCAGCGCTACTACAGCAATAGCTGCTGAAACTCCTCAACAGTATAAAAACCGAAATAAAGGTAATCAGTTACAAAACCTCAATAGAAACAAAGAATCAATTTTCAGTTGGTGACAATTAGGTATTTAACTGCAGTAATCATTTGAGATTGTGGTTGGCCAACAAGCACTCTTTGCTTGTACTGCCACACATACCGAAATTTCAAAAAGAATCACTCAGCATGTATTGTTTAAATGGTATAGTCAAGTCTTCACTGCTGATTAAACCACCTGAATTGCTTATAAATTTCTGGTTTTCTGTTTTTCACCACAGCATTGTCCAAGCATTTTCTGGAAAACATTTGGAAATTCAATTTGAGTTTTTAAATGACTTCATTCAGAGCTACAAAGATGGTTAATGAAACAAGTTTTTTTTTTTTTTTCTTTCGTTTTTTATTATTTATTATTGCATCAAAAAGTAAATCAAAAATAAAATTAATCTCCAGGTTTTATGCCAACAATTATGATGTCAACAATATAAACCATCAAATTCAATTAAAGCTGACAGCTGAAGTTGTTAAGTGCAATTTGTTATAGAAACCCAGTTATAGAAAAGGATCAACTATCGATTAAAGTCACAGTCATCAGGAGTATCGTGTTTGAAGTATTTTTCTAATGACTGCAACCTGATGGCTGCTACCTGATGGCTGCACTGCACAATTTTAAAAAACTTTATCAATCTTTGTCAACACAGTAAAGAAATATTTAAATATATGGTATGTTTTAAATGCTGAATAAATGGCTATTTTTTACTACAAGTCATGATAAATCCCCCTGTGGTGGTATTGGTGGGGCTGTTAAAAGAGTAAAGAACGTCAAGAAAGTCTAAAACAAGTAACTAATGAGCAAATTTTTGATTTTAATTTAATGTACTTTTTTTTTAAAACCAAAATAACTGCTATTTGTTTTAAGTTAGTGTCAAAAGAGAAAATTGACCAAGCATGAGCACAGATGTATTATTATTTTATTCCTATTATTTCAAATACAATAAGTTATAAATAGACAATAGTAAACATACAGCATATACGAACAACAGGGGAGTTGTTTCTTTACTAGCCCTTTTCGTGTGTATATGACTTAATATGTCCTAAACTAGTTATTAAAAAAGTTTTTTAAATTTTTCATTTAAAAATTGTTTTTAAAAACATTTTATCTCCATTACAAAATTTAATTTTTTTTTTAAGGAAGTAGATAACCAAAAAGGTAAAATTATTAGGAAAATTATTAATAAAGATGAGAAATAAAACAAGACCAAGAATAGAAACCTATGGTATCACAGAATTTAATGGATATGAAGGAGAGTGTTGTCCATCAAGGACAACTCTATTATTGCAGTTAAAAAGGTTTCAAAAATTTTCAAAATTTTAAGAAAATTAAGAAAAACAATAAGATCGGATCCATATCAGATATGTTTCTTAATGACATTCTAAAAAAGAATAGTCTAAAAGCTCTAGAACCTAAGTTCTGAGATGAGATTTGAGATTTCTTGTTGGAATCAAATGAAGTTTCTTGTTGGAATCAAATGATTTTCAAGCGTCTCGATGTATCTGTATTGGTCCATTAAACCAGTGTACAAGTAGCATAGTCCGGGTCCATCATATGTAATACAACCCCAGATCCCAACTGAACATGCTCGGCTCTGTAACCAAGGTACAATGAAACGATTATGAAACTTCTCATTATGGTGTCTTCGAACAGTTACTCTATTTTTTCGATTAACGACTGTATAATTTGATTCGTCGCTGAATACAATTTTATTTATATCACTATCACTCATCGTAAGAATTTTCTTGCAAAATTATAGCCGTTTGAGTCGATCTGATCTTTTAAGCATTAGTTTTCTAGCAGCAGTATACAAGCATAGTTTATGATCAATTAATCTTCTATTTACTGTCTGTCTTGAGATGTCATTTTTAAGAGATATATTTATTTCTTGAGCAATTTGTTTGGCACTATACTTATAATTTTTTCTGGTTATTCTGTATATACTATTATCATCAGTGGTAGTTGTTTTTCTGGGTCTTCCGGATCTGATTTTATCTAATGTGCTACCTGTTTTTTTCCAATTAGCTATTGTTTTAGTGACACAAGACTGCGATACGTTCTTGAGAATCAACTGAACTTTTCTTATAGAATTACCAGCAAGGTGCATGGTGATAATTCTTTTTTTGATTTCTTTTGAGACTTATGTTTTACCCATTTTCTAAATATTTTAACAGCAAATAATGCGTAAAAATTGTATATTTTGATTAGCGTGCACTAAGTATATAATTTAATTTTTAAATGGATTTAAACATATTTTAGATATTATATATTTTGATCCATGTTAAAAATACAATCTTTAAAAAAAAAGATTGGGCACTTATATGGAAATAAAGATAGAAAAAAGTAAGTCTAAGTTTATGAGACACTTTATTTGTTTTTAAATAGTGCTATTATTAAAAAGATAAAATAAAAAGACTAATATATACAATAAAAAGTGTGTGTTTTTTGTAATAATGTTGGAAACAAACTAAGTTAAATTAAAAAAAAAAATTTCAAACATCTTAATAATTTTTTTTTGGTACTTTAAGAACTAAGCTTAAGAAATTTTTTTCTTAGTCTAACTTTTTGATTACTAGTGTATTTATAAATAAAATATATTATTATTATTATTTGTGTTATTGTTGTTATTACTACTTTCACTCTTATTATATATTTATTTTGGCTGTTATTGATTACTATTATATTATTTATAATGTTATTAACTCCAGCAAGGTTTTTATTCAAGATTAGTTCATGTACTAATCTTATTTATGCATTATTATGTATTTGTATATATTTGTAAATATCCATGAAGCGTAATAACTATTTTAAAAATTGATTATTTTTATTGATTAAGTAGCAAAATAATATTTTTTTTTACTTTTCATCATTTTTTACTTTAATGTTACTATAATTTAAGTTATTGTAATTTTTTTTACTTACTATTATCATTATGATGTAAATAAAATTATAAAGTATATTTGATGACGCTTTATTTTTAAGATATTGTTTGTGTTTTTTATGTTTATTTAAGGTTAACACTATGGCTTTAAACACAGATTATGCTATTCGCACTGGAGCATTTGAACCTGCTAAAGGTGACAATGAAATAACTTTAGAGAACACACAGAAAAAATCTTTAGAACGCTACACTAATGCCAAGGTTATAAATGATTATAATTTGTGAATAAAATAACATTATTTGCTGTGATATAAAGGAAAATGGTTTTAATTTATAAATTTGTTTATATTTAATTTAATAGTAGATATATGTTTTTGTATATATCAAATTGGATGCAAAATTAGCATCTGCTAAGGTTTATGCTTCTCTTTATCATGCTCACTACTTTCTTACTCCGAGTTCTAATCTTTATTACAATAAATTTAAAATTCGTCCTTTTATGGAATAGTGTTGCCATACCTGGGGCGGATCTTCAAATGATGCCTTTTCTCTTTTAGACAAGTGCAAATACATGTATGTATTGTAAACATAGTTGGACCTGCCCTTGAAGCCAACCTTCAACCATTGTCACATCATTGTAATGTTGCCAGAGTTATTGGTCCTTGGCCTTAGCCTTGGCTTTGCTTTAAGGCCAAAAACTAAGGTCTTGGTCTTGAAACAGTTGGCTATGGTCTTGGCCTTGGCCTTGATTGTTTTGGCCTTTGCCTTCAAAAAAAAAAAATACATAAAATTAAAGAATTAAAAGTTTTCATTTATTTTTAAATACTTTTGTTTTTATCTTTCATATATATCTAAAAGTATATTTTCTTATTGACTTTGTTGAATTCTGCACATAATCTTGATTAATTTTTACTTATTATTAACGTAATAATAAGTAAATTACGTTAATAACGTTAATATGCGGTAGTGGTGTAGTGGTAGAGCGCTCGCTTCATAAACGAGTGGTTCCGAGTTCGATCCCCACCACGTCCCTGGTAGTACCGCGCTCAACTCGTTTCTCTGCGCAGCGGCCTTGTTCGTCAAGGTTCGTGTTTCGGAGTTATAGAGTTGAGAGAGGGTTATAGCCACAAAATAAGTAGCCTCCTCGTCTGTAGTGGCCTTCTCGGCCTTGAGGAGGTGAAGTATAATAAAAAAAAAAAAAAAAAAATGGTATTAACGTAAGGCAAAATTTTAAGTATTCGGTCTTGAAAATGTTTGCATAGATCTTTCTTGGCCTTGACATTAAAACTCTTGGCCATGTAACTAATAAATTGAGGTCAAGGCCAAGACCTATATTTTTTGTAGGGCTTGGGCTTGGTCTTGGTCTTGGCCTTGCTATTTTTGACCTTGCTAACAACTCTGAATGTTGCTTCTCTTTCTCTTTTCTATAAATACTATAATGGGCACTGCTCTAAAGAGCTAGCGTCTCTTGTGCCATCCACTAAAATTTATTCTCGTGTTACTTTTCATTTAATTAAGTCTCATCCTTTTACTGTGACTGTTATTAAGTGCTCACAAAATTCTTATTCGTCTAGTTATTTTTCCTTGAACATCAGTTTTTTGGAATTTTGCTTTCCTCGTCTAGTTTTCTTGATTCATATAATTTGCAATATTTTAAGTTGTCTGTTAATCGTTATCTTGCTCTATAAACTCCATCTTTTTTCTTCCAGTAACTTCCCACACTTAAAGTGGTTGCTTGCAGCCTTGTTGGAAGTGAAGATGTTTAAAAAAAAACTGAACAAAATTGGCTTTGAACTACATGCCTCTTGCTTTTGAATAGAGTGTTCAGTATTTCCACATATCGATAATAGTCAATTTTATCTACAAATGTCTTCATTCTTTTGGGATATAAAATAAATTAGTGTATTTTACAAAAAGAATGCTCAATGGTCTTAAAAAGCAGAACAACGATATATCTGTAAATAACTCTTGTTAATTTTCTTTTGAATTTGAATTATTATTAATTATATTTTTAGAATTATTAGTTATATTTTTTTAATATGTATACAACACTTGCTCCAATGTTTTGGGGAGATTCACTTTTGTATAGAAAAAATAAATTTTTGTTTTAAATTATTTGGGTATATGATCTTTATATTTTTCAACCCAGAATTTCAAAGTGTCTAATTCTAGATTGTGTGAAATGATTGTGTAAAGATCAAAAATGTCACATGTAACTATCTACATCTATTTTTCTTGGAATTTTTCTTAAAAAATCCCAATGGGTCTTTTGTTTCTGTACAATAGGAGATAAAATTCAATGTAAAAATTGTCTTAAATATGATGTCGGTAAATCTATTCCTGCAACAATAGGTTGCCCTTTTAGGTCTTTTGGTGAATCCATTTCAATAAATAAAGTACTAGATTCTTTAATGGTTTTTTTACATTTATGAATTTTTGGAATTGCATAAAAATAGCAATAAAAATAGATTTCCATTCAAATTTTGTAATGTAGTCAATCTCGTTTTGTTTTAGACGTTGTATATATTGGCCTCTTTAATTTTTAAAAAAGATGTTTTTAAAAAAGTTTTAATTCAAAAAGTTTTCCAAGTGATAAAGAAAAAAAAATTTTTTTTCCAGTATCAAATATCCTTTATAAGTTCTTTATTAGTCATCAGGAAGATTTTTCCTGATGAACCTACTGATGGCGAAATAAGTTGTCAAAGAAAAAAATAGATGAGTGTTTTTACATTAAAGATGTTTTTACATTCCATTTAAGTCCGGCATAGGGTTAGGGTTACGGCAAGGTTTAAATATGGAAATAAAATTTATAATGGTTATAAAATTTAAGTTATATAAACATGATAAAAATTGTAAAAAAAAAAGTAAAAAAAAAACCGTTACAGGAACAAAAAAACATGTATATATATATATATATATATATATATATATATATATATATATATATATATATATATATATATATATATATATATATATATATATGAGCACTCTATTTGTAGAATACACTAATATAATTTTAATATATGTGGTGTGTGTATATAGATATATATATAGATATATATACATATATATATATATATATATATATATATATATATATATATATATATATATATATATATATATATATATTATATATATATATATATATATATATATATATATATATATAGAGAGAGAGAGAGAGAGAGAGAGAGAGTATATTTATGTAAGCATTTGCTCACTTTTTTTGCTTATCTAAATCGATACGGCGTTTTTTAGAAAAAAACAAACAAACAAACAAAGAATAATGAATGAGAAAATTGCTGCTCCATGCCAAACCCTCAGTCGATGTAGCAGTACTCCGCTGCGAGTCAGGCTGTTTGTCAGTTGATGTATGTACTGAATATTTTAGTATGAAATCACACTGCACATCTAAATCAGCATTATTAGATATATATGTTATATATTAGACCACCCTTTTGAAGCTTCTAATAACCATAAAAAATCAGTAAAAATATTTATAACTTAAGCAATTTAATTAACATTTAGTAATTTTTACTAAAGACTTTATTAAAAATTAGAATTACAAATTTATTTAATTATTCAGCATTAATTTATAATTTTTTTTTTGTTTATAGGGAGTTAAACCAGAAATTCTTGTGTCAGGTTCTGATGATTTCACACTTTTTTTATGGCAGCCTTCTGAATCTAAAAAGGAAATTGCCAGAATGACAGGTTATTTTTTACTAGTTTTATGAGGATATTATATTATGAGGAAGTTTTTTAACTTTAAGCAAGTATATATGGTCATGCAAACTGGTGTATTGTTTGAATTGTTTCTATACCTTTATAGCCTTGCTTAACAACATTTTTTGATTTCAGCCGATCATCAAATCCTGGCCAGATATCTAAAAAAACTTCCCAACCAGTGAAACAAATTCATAAAAACATAAAAACTGACACATTATAAATTAAACTTATTTTCTATAATTTGCATCAATTTATAATTAGATTCAGGAATATTTTCAATAATAGCTAGAAAGAGGGATTGTTGTATACCACTATTCAAAATCTTGTTTTATTAAATTTATGATACTTTTTATTGCAAATTCATTAAAAGCAAATAAACAGTAAAAAGTAAAAATAAAGGATTAATAAACAACGCAAAAAGAAAAATAAATTTCTCAAAAAGAAGATTATCATTTAAAATAATAAAATATATGTAAGTATGTTGATTAATTACCACTATTCAAAATCTAAATCATTTTTCTTATCATTTTTATTAATCAATGATATTGATGATCACAAAAATAATTAAATTTTGATTTTTAAATTACAAATAAAATAATGCAAAATATAATTTTAAAAACAATATTCTTATCCCTAAATGCTAAATTTCTTGAAGCTAGAAAAATTGTGACGTCAAGAATGCATTGTAAAATTACTTTTCATCGCCATCTAAATCTTTATAAAGGCTGACGTTGGGTATAAACCACGTACTATTAAAAATTCTAACACTAAATCTGATGTATTTTGAACATACAAAGGATCTCTTAAATTTAAATGGCCTATACTGTCAACAAACTTCACAGTATAGTAATTGAAGATGTAATTTTCTAATTCAGAAAGACAACTAAAAATAATAGGCTCTGTGGAAAGTTTATTTCCTTTGCACAACTCTTGTTATTCTATTTGACAGCTCTAGCGCAACCTGTTTAAACCTGCTTAACTATTTCAAAGGAAAGCTACTGGACAGAAGTTCTTTTTGTTTTATTTCTTATCTTGAAAATATATTAGTTTAGTTAATATAGAGGTAAGGGTAACTTAAACTAAAATCTAATAATTATATTAATTACAATTTTACCCAGTAATTACATAAGGATCAGTTAATGTATTACATTTGATGAAACTCCCTATGGTTTGAACTCTCTCTATGCTTTAGTCAATACACAATATGTATGTACAATCGTTACAGTTCAATACACATTTATGCACAAACATTAATATGAATAATTACATATATGAAAAAAATTTTTTTAAGGTGTTTACTTGAGATTAGTATTTTATTATTATTTGTAAATATGCTTTAGTCAATGTACAAACTTACGCTAAAGTCAATCTACAATCTATGTTCTTTTTTATTTGCACAAAAAAAAAAATTGTTTTTTTTGTGCAAATAAATAAGTTTCCAAATTTCATAAGAGTTTGAAATTACTAATTTGGGCTTATACATATATACTTTTGGTCATGTTTTTATACCATATATATTTTTGGTCATGTTTTCGTACCATATATATTTTTGGTCATGTTTTTGTACCCAGTTAAAACTAGTACTTAATACCAAGTTTTCATTTATGTAAAATGTGTACAGCTTATGTAAAATTTGTAAAACTTGTGTTAGTTCACATTTATAGTGCTTGTAAGCACCTATAAAAGTTTTCATTTATATCAGTCTGTAAATTCATTTGATTTGCTTATTCTAGGTATGTGTTTTTGAAGTTCTTTTAATTTTTTTATTTTTTATTTTAATTCACCTCCTCAAGGCCGAGAAGGCCACTACAGACAAGGAGGCTACTTATTTGTGGTTATAACCCTCTCTCAACTCTATAACTCCGAAACACGAACCTTGACGAGCAAGGCCTCTGCGCGGAGAAACGAGTTGAGCGCGGTACTACCAGGGACGTGGTGGGGATCGAACTCAGAACCACTCGTTTATGAAGCGAGCGCTCTACCACTACACCACTACCGCATGACTAGTTTGAATTGTTGAAAAACACTAGTTTAGAGTTAAGAAATTTACATCAAAACATTTTTCTCATTTTATAAGTTATAGTTATCATTTTTATATATATTTAGTTGTTTTAGATATTTTAGTTGATATGCCAAAATTTTATTTAGGCCATCAGGCACTCATTAACACTGTTCAATTTTCACCTGACGGTCGTCTAATAGCAAGTGGCTCCTTCGATAAATCTGTCAAACTTTGGGATGGCTGTACAGGAAAGTACGCAAAAATGTTCAATATAAGTTTACCTTATTTTTTCTTTTGTTTCATAATCTTATTTTATTCTTTAGATTTATTGCTGCATTTCGTGGCCATGTTAATTCTGTATACCAGGTTTGTTTATTTTTTAAATTTATTTCTGCATTTTGTGGTCATGTTACTTCTGTTACTGTTAATTCTGTATTCATATTCTTCAATCATCATTCATTCATTCAGGGATTATCTTTTTCCGGATATTTCCGGAATTCCGGATATTTTTTTCAACTTATAATTTTTCCGGATATCCAAAACATTTTCAATAACTGCAAGTTGAGGTATATATTTTTGTAATATATTTGTTTTTTAAGCTTTTTCACTCATCACTCATAACAAAAATATGAAAAGGATTTAAAAAAAATTAGAATCAACTTAGCTAAAAACGAAATTAAAAAGAAAATAAGGAAAAACAAATTCCGGATTTTTTCTGGATATTTTATCCAAACAGTTTTCCGGATATTTAAAATATGACTAGGATGACCTATGTTCATTGTATTCATTCATCTTCTGGTTTGCTTATTTAAAACTGGATTTTATTGATTTTGATTTTTTCAGTTGGATATTAAAAAAAATAAAGTAATAGAGGTAAAGATATAAATTAGGTTTAAGTTTGAGTTAATAATGGTGCTAGGGTGTTAATGGTGATTGTGAAATTAGTTTTGTGGGGTACTAGCAGAAAAACTTTTATTTTGTTTAAAAAATAGCGTTTTGCTGGGAAAAAAACTCACTAAATTTATTTCTATTAAAATATCAACAAAACAAAAAATTTTTTATGGATACACAACATAGTTTAAAACCATTTGTATTTATTTAACAAGATTTTTTTTTTTAACTTAATAAAGCAATTAAGTAGTAACTTTTATTAATTTATTAATTCACCTTTTTTTATTAGTTTATTAATTCACCTTTTTTTTCCAAGGTTTTTATTTTAGTTCAAGTTGATTTTTTTATTTTGAATCATGACTTAACATTTAAAAAAAGATGTCTTATAAATAACTTAAGTTTCATTAGTTATACATTATTCCATTTATTATCACTATTTGTTATGCATTATCCATTCATGCTTGATATACCCCATTCATATAGCTTCAAGAAACGTTGTTGTTGCTTTGCTGTTGCCCTTTTTAGTTGAATTTTGAATATTGTATGACGAAGCAACAACAACGTAAAATGTTTCTAAATTCAAGATTGAATCATCAAATGTCAAAGTGCAGTTTTAAAGCAGATTTCTTTTGTTTATCATACAAGAATTTAGAATTTATTTATCTCCAAGTCTCAACTTTGGTTTCCATGTTTTTATCATATATTATTCCATAACTTCCATGTTTATGCTGGTTTAACTTTTGGTTGTTAACTTTTTAGATCGCATGGTCAGCAGATAGCCGATTGTTATGCAGTGGTAGTTCAGATAGTACATTAAAGGTTTTTTAATGCTTTAATTTTGTAACAACAATGTAAGTTTTTTCTTTTTTTTAATTTTTGTTTAAAATTTTTTACAGGTTTGGGACATGAAAACAAAAAAACTACAGTGTGATTTACCAGGGCACTCTGATGAGGTATTTACTTTGATAAATATTTAACACTTTTAAGAAATTACCGTTTTTGCTTTTTACAAAAAGATTTTGAGAAATTTATGGTTTTGATGTTTGTTATATTTTCTTTGTTTGGTTCTTTATTATTTTAATTACTTTCAAATAACTTAATTTAAAATTTTTAAATTATTTTTTTTTTTTTAATCAACTGTATTTTTATTTTATATTTAGGTTTATGCTGTTGATTGGAGTCCAGATGGTCTTAGAGTTGCTAGTGGTGGAAAAGATAAAGTATTGAAAATGTAGGTTTAAATATTTATGATATAATATAATAAATGTCAAATACAATGATTTGTATAAAGCATTTAAAATACAATTATAAATTTATAATATTTAAAATGATTTACCAATATTGAAAACATTTTCAAAAATAAAACAAAAACAAAAGTAAAACAGTTTTATTCTACTGAATCTATTTAATAAACATATGTTTAAAATAAATTATATATATGTATGTATGTATATATATATATATATATATATATATATATATATATATATATATATATATATATATATATATATATATATATTCAAAAAGTACAATTGACAGCAGAATGTGCAAAAAGTTTTATAAATTTGTTATAAATTTTTGTTATAAATTTGCCCTCTGCTAATTGTTGACCTTGCCACATTTTATTTGTCTGAAAAACATGTTTTTTTAAGTGTTCTTATTAAGTGAAGAAATGTGATAAGTGGTGTGAAATATGCTTTAAAAGTATTTATACATTATAATATTTAACAAAAATAATTAGCTTTTGTTTTATATAACCATTTTCTTTGCAACAATATCTTTTGCAGCATCTTTTAACTCTAAAAATTTACTCTAGTCTATAGTTAAATGATTCTGATGTTATGGACTTTCAGTTTGTAGTTAAATGAATCCAGTTGGGTTACAGTTGTGTGCAAGAACTTAAAAAAAAATCTTATAAACACTAACAGTTATCAACGCATTGGCTATTGACCAACAACAACAAACAAAAAAAGCGCAAAAAAAATGTTATTATTTATGATATTAAAGAATCTGCCAAGTTGACTAAGTTAACACATGCAGATAAGCAAGTTGACGATAAGGAAATGGTTCTGAAAATCTTAGCTTCTATATTGTAAAGATGGCCAAGAAGGATGTTGAGGTGGCCGTGTAGCTATCTCCCTTACTGACGTAGGGTAGATAGCTACACAGTTATTTAGTTCTCATAAAGTTAATCTAGTCTTCTTGAACAAGTTTGGGCATCTGTAAAAGTTAACAATAAACATATACTTATCAGGTGTGATGCTAATTTAATTAAGTATGTCAATGAATCCTTTAAATTAGCATAATTAGGAAGCCCTACAATGACTGTTAGATTGTCAGTGGTATTAAGCCGAATATAAAGTGGTCTAATGATGGTAATAAATACCAAACATTAACCCAAACAATTCTACTGAGTATGATTTTTGAAATATTTGCCACCATACGACCTTTTTACACAATATATTATGTTTCCTACTTTCCAGACCTCTTATAGTTTCTCAAATAATATGTTGGATTTTCTATTTACCTTCAACAGTAATTCTATTTTAAATTTGTCTCCTAGTGGTAGGTAGTAAGACTTGTCTCCTATTGTTATGTAATAAGACTAAGGCTGACTTGGAGAATTTTAGTTTCAGAACCATGGAATCTTAATTATTTAGTTACAACAAAGGTGATTATGATTCAATATTAAACTTTGTTGCATCAATCAACTGGGATATTTTATTTATAAATAAATCTGCAGATCAAATGTTTAATTTAATAATTTCGAATTATTGTACTGTTTACCAGTATTTTATCCCCAAACAAAAAAAAAATAGTATGGTCCTTGAATTACTCCTCATATTAAAAACCTAATCTGAGCTAAAAAATTTGCTTGGAATACCAAATTCTCAACTAAACTAAAGAAAAGTAAACTTGAAATAAAATACAATTGTCTTAATCATTCCATAAAAAAGTTCCAGTAAAAGCTGAAATATTTAAAGCAAAAAAAGAACATAAAAAAGAAATGAAATTAAAATCCTAAAACAAAAAAATTAAGTAAAGAGTTCGTATTCTCAAAGATACTTTAAACAGAATTGTTGAAGCTCTTCCTTATATAGTTGATCCTCTGAACTCTCAATTCAAATCTATGTTTTCTTTTTAGAGCTCTAAATATTTTCCATTATTAGATAAAAGTGATATTAAATCTAAATCCATGTATAATGACAACTTGGTCTCTATTTCTCTATTTCAAACATTATTAAGGAATTCACTAATCTAAATCCTTATAAATTTTTCCAATCTGGTGGCTTTTATCTCTTAATACTTAAGATATGTGCCAAATGCTTTGCAATTTCGTTTACAAATATTTTCCATGTATCCTTCAATTCTGGACTAGTACTCACTCTGTGAAAATTAGGAAATATTAGTCCAGTCTATAAAAAGGGGAGATCAATTACTTGCTGAAAACTATCCACCTATTTCACAAACTTCTGTTGCCTGCAAAATCTTCAAAAAACAAAATGTCAGGGTTAAGGTTAGGGTTCTAAGTAAGTCTAAGGCATCTGCTTCAGGCTTGGAATCATATTGAAATTAAATCTGTGGCCCAAGGTTTAGGCTTTAGTCTCAGGTTTGATTTTAATGGATTTTTTAAATTGTTATGAATTTTTTTGGAATAAACAGAGAAACACAGTTAAGATCAAACTCAGTCAATCGCTCTTTAAGGAGGCAAATCAAGGGAGTCAAACGCATTTTGGGGAAACAGACGCAAAATTGGAGGATACAAGGTCAAATACAAATTTAAATCTTGTTAATTCAAATGGTTTCTTGTGATTGAAGTCATTGGTGGAAGACATTAAAGTGTGGAAGGCATTGGTTGAAGTCAGTTTGAAAGTTATTGATTGAATTCAGTGTTGAAGTTATTGAGGGTTATTTAATATTCGAGTTTAAGTTTCCAAATTATGATTATTGCAATTTTAGGCAAAACTTATTTAAGATAGGAATGAAAGTGTATACTCAACAAGTATGCTTAAAAACTTACTCGTTTGAGATGAAAATGAACAAAGGTTTGAAGTTTATCTTAAACCTAGAAGTTATATAACTCAAATACCAAAGATGCTTTTTTGTAAACCAACAATGTTTTGATTAAACTAGAAAGACTAATTATTTGTGATTTTGTATATTATTGTTTTGTAAGTTTTATTTGCATATGTGTTTTATGTTTGTTTTTTTAATTTATTTAAGCTGGCGAACTTGATGCGTGAAAAAGACGTGCTCGTAATACAACTCTTATTGATGGAATTTTGGATTCCAATGTTTAGCGGGAAATTGTGGTGAATAGCAGTGGTCATCGTTGTCATTGATTTAGAATTAAAAGCAATTTTAATTTATTTAGGTCCGACAATTAAAAACTGATTTTATACTGAAAAAATACAAAATAATTATATTTATATTTAATGTATAAATAAGTTTTGATATTCATTAAATTGAATAATTTGTGCAACCCTCGTGTTTACATTTAGATTTCTTTTTTCCAAATATTAGCGTGTCGCATAGCTCAACCTACGAAAATCTGCACCGAAAAACTTGATCTACAAAATAAAATATCTACTAAAAAGTGGGAATAATTTTTAGTTGTCCTACTAAGGCCTAAATTGTTTTTAACCTTTAATAGTCCTTTTTTAATTCGACCGATTTATGACGTTTTTATTTTCAACCGATTTTTTTCTCAATTTAATCGTCTGTGTTTTAATCATTTTTTTTTTTTTAGAATAGCTTACTTAGCTTTTAAGAATTTTTTTTCAAAAACCATTAACAATAAATCTAGAATAGACAAGTTTTTGTTTCAAGAATTTATTCAACAAAAAGCCTGTCATATCAGCCTATGAAAGTTACTGACCTGTTTGTATTATTTCTACTATTAACTGCCATTTAACTTTTTCTCAATTTTTTTTTTTTATTTTTCATTTAACTTAAACGCATACAAAAACTAAAAAAACACAAGGTTTCTTTTCTATGTATTATTCATCAATATATATCACTCACCATATATGTATGGTGATGTGTATATATATATATATATATATATATATATATATATATATATATATATATATATATCACTCACCATAGATGTATGGTGATGTGTATATATATATATATATATATATATATATATATATATATATATATATATATATATATATATATATATATATATATATATCACTCACCATAGATGTATGGTGATGTGTATATATATATATATATATTCAGCTCTGATTCAAATTAACAACAAATGAATAAAATACATACCGGATAGGAAGTAGTTCTAGAGTCGATCGAAAAAATAGTAGGTTGAAAATTGTAGTAGTTAAAAATGCAGTAGGCTTAAAAGTTAGTATTTCATGGTTTAATTAGTAATAAGTATGTAAAATCAAGTTGTAGGTTGAAAATCAAAATTGTCGTATTCTATGATTTTAGAAATTTCATATAGTCATCACGTCGCCCGGGACAGCGACTATGATTAACGCCATTATTTTTTTAAATTTACCTATATTATTGAAGGACCTTTTCATTTTTAGGTGCATTATTGTTAATTATTATTTAAAGTATAAAAAGAAATTTTAAACTTCCCAGCCTCAATATTGATAAAAATAAATATTTCTAAAACACTGCAGTAAGTTGGAGCCTAGAAATAGAAATAATCGACACAACCGCTATTCAATATTGACTATTAGAGCAACTTTTTCATCGTTTGACTAGTCGATGCCAAAACATCAATGATTGCATCGTTATCAATTCTTGGAAGAAGGTCATTTTTACAAATCAGCATAAATGATTTTAAACTTGAATGGCTCATCAAGTTTCTTAACCTGTTTAAAATATATTTCAATTTCAAAAATGACCTTTCATAAGCAACTTGTATGAGGATAATGTCAATACAAATTTGTAAGCCAGAAACAAGTTTGAATACGCAAGACTATGCGAGTTAAACTTTTTGAGAACAAAGTAACAACTATCAATACATTTTTTGCAAGATTTGCATTTATTTCTGTGGCTGTCGCTGGTTTCCACTTCTGGGATTGTTGAGACAGTTTCAAATTCTACGGATTTAGATTGTTGGGTTTGCCCGAGATACCTCCGTCAGATACCTCCGTGTTAAAAAGCAAAATATGTTCATGTTCAAGAGTTATTTCGAAACTCTCCCATTTCCGTGCAAAGTCCAATAATTCCGTTTGAAGCTGATCTTTTGTTACACTAGCATCAAATTTTCTGAGCAAACTACTCATCTTTGCAATGCGTCACAAAGCATTTTTTTTTCCGAATTTCTGCAAAATTTCTTGGATCTAAACAAGATAAATCAGCATATAAAGAATCTCTGTTTTAAACTACTGATTACTTCCATTACCATGTAATGAACATCGAAACGAAATTTTCGTACTTTCAAGTAGTTGCTTTGCTTTTATTGTTTTCTCGTTCAAACCAGTCTAAACTTTAATGTCGAGATTCCTTCTGACTCAAACTTCAATGTCGATATTCCTTTTTTTTCCCAGTTCAGTGTTTGCAAGTTCTGAGGAATTTGTAACTGAAAAAATGGAATCAAAATTTCTATCTATTTTACTTAATTCATTAATACTGTTTTGAACCATCTTATAGGCTCTTAGTATATCCATTCCAGTTGCTTGCAAATATTCAGACAATGGCGTTGTGTGCTCCAATACTTTTAAAAACCGTCAACATAAATTTAAAACTTGTCAATTAATCTAAAAGAGCTTTCGTTCTGTATTTATTTACATTATTTATTTACAAAATAATGATAAATAGTATTCGAATTTCGAATACTAAATATTTGCATAATTATTAGACAAATTAATTCGGATGAAACCATAAAAAAGTAAAAAAAAAAATTAAAGCTTTAGATGGCTTTACTTTTTCTTTCTTATTTTAATTTTCTTTTTCATTTTTTTCTTTCTTTTTTTTTTTTTGTGGCGTCCCAGGGCCTCGTGTCTCCTATAGGCTACAGCCTATGCTAGCTTTTGCCTAAATCTGCCATTGAGTTCATATACTTAATACTTGCCGAAAAAATTTCGATGTGCAATCAACAAAATACATAGTGCAGCAAACATAAATAGTTACATAATTTATAACATAAAATATTATCAATAATACCAACCTGTAACTTTTCTGTCAGTGAACAATACACAAAAAACAACAAATTAAAAGATATACTTAAAATATATTATTAAAAGATATATAAAATTATATTATAAAATAAGTAGTTTAACATTTGTTAACTAATTTGGTTTGTTTACGTAATATAATACTATTTTTGGTCAGCTAAAGATGGCCGCCAAAATTTATATAATTAGTCTTGTGCCAAATCGCACTTATGCCAGTTTGCACATGTGCCAGTTTTTACAAAAGCTTTGCATTTATGCCAGTTCGCGCTTATGGAAGTTTGCTCCTATGCCAATGTTTGGAGATTCTTTTGGCGAATTCGTACTTATGCCAGTTCGCACTTATGAAATAAGTGAGAATTGGCATAATTTGGCATAATAGAGTGGATGACTGGCATAATTGCGCTTATTCAGTCGTCCTCTCCCGGTAACCCGGCGGCCCAGTCCAAGCCTGGTTATAGGTCACCAATATAAGGTTGTTTTTTTTCATTATTTTAAAATTTTTATAAACTTTGCTGCCTTTTCTTTTCACCAATTTAGTTGATGTTTCATTTTTGTTGCTATTTTTGTCTTGTCAGATTAAGGGTTTGAATTAACGTAGTTTTGTCGTTTACGGAGGAGTTGTGTTATACTGGACTATATTTATATAACACTTCTCAATTATATATATATATATATATATATATATATGTATATATATATATATATATATATATATATATATATATATATATATATATATATATATATATATATATATATATATATATATATATATATTATTATTATTATTACAACATTATTTTATAACATTTCTTATATATATATATATAAGAAATGTTGCAACCCTCTTTTTCGTTAATTGTAATGTTCGAAGACCAATACTGCTCAACGATCTTTTTGCTTATTTAAAATCAACGATCTTTTTGCTTATTTAAAAAAATAATGTTACGCTTAAATTAAATAGAAAAAATTAAAAAAAAAATAAAAAAAAAAATTAAAAAAAAAAAAAACCTATATCGATTAAGATCAGCAAAAAAAGTGAGCAAGTGCGCATATAAATATGCTATAGTAGAAATATATAGAACTAAATTTAAAGCGCGCGTCAATTGCAGAAGAGAAGGGGTCATTGTGAGCTTACAAACGTTGAGAGGAGTCTAATTCAGTGGTTTTGTTGCGTACTTCAAAAATTAAAATTTATAGATATAAACTAAATTTGAAAAAAGTTTTAAATAGACCGTTTAATGTTAATAATAGTTAATCAGATAAACTTATTTTAAAAAAAGTTTGTATTTCATTTTTATTTTTACCTGTAAACTGTTTTGAAGCTTGTCTTCGAGGTGTCTCATCAAAATTTTAAACAAACTTGAAATTGCTTGACGCGATCGTTTAAAAAAAATCATTTTTCTATCTATCTAAAAAAAATCATTTTTTATTTAAAAAAATCAACACTTTTCTTGTTACAAGTTTCATAAATATTACCAAAGCAAGTAAAATAAATTTTATCTTCAAATTTCTAAAGTAGACAAAGTTATCTCTATTTTAAAATATTTTGGAGAGCGATCTGACTCGTCTAACTACCATGCTATTGGTCTTCTTCCTAAAGATATAAATGCTAAACTTTATCAAAGTCTGATAAAGTTTGGTCTTCTCCATAAGCTCTTTTCTTACGGTGTATCAGATAACATCTTTAAGATTAGTGAATCCTTTCTTTCCAATTGTAGTATAAAAGTTATCCTCAATGGACAGCACTCTTCTTTATATCCTGTAACCTCAGGAGTTCTTCAAGGTTTTATCCTTGGCCCTATACTCTTTTTAATTTACATTAAAAATCTTCTAGGTATTCTCACATCTAAGGTATCATTGTTTGATGATGATACTACGATTTATTCTTGTCTTGATAAGAAGCCAATACTCTCTGATTGCTTGGAGGGGACATTTGGGCATGAAAAGGATCTCACTTCTGCTACAGCATGGGGCTCACAGTGGCTGGTGACTTTAATTTATATAAAAATCAACTTTTTTTCAACCAATCGTTATCGCAATAGTTTCATCTACCCTTCACCTTCTAAAATTAACTCTTACTTCCGATTTTTCTTGGAAATCGATTGCAAAATTGACATCTGCTAAGATTGCATCTCTATATCGTGCTTGCAACTTTCTTACTCCGGATTCTATTCTTTATGTCTATAAATCTCAAACCCGTCCTTGAATAGAATACTGTTGCCATATCTGGAGTGTATCTTTAAATGACTTGCTTTTTCTT